TATTCACACTGTTGTGCAATACATTCTCTAGGATTCTTTCATCTTGCAAAACTAAAAATCTATACCTATTAAACTCTTATTCTCCTGCCCTCCTCCCCACTCATACCTTTTGGTTTAAATGCACTTTTGGAGATCTGTATTTGATGTGGCTTCTTAAAGCCCCTGCAAAAAATTCTGAATATGAGTTTTGATTAAGAAATTGTAGCTCACTAATAATGGAAAACTTGTAATTTAACTACTAATGATATCTGTTTATTCCTAATAGCAAATAGGCAAATATGTATTTTAGGAGAGTGCCTTTTTCCCCACCATTTCTGATTTTGGAGCATAGTTTATGCTGTTAAGAAGTAAAAATATGCACAAGTTGTCCAAAAGGCATTTTTTGGGGGGACTAATGATGTGCTTGGTGTTAGTGTCTGCTGATGTGGTGGCTGTACGTTACTGTTCACTTGTTTGTCCCTTCAGAAAGACTGAGCAAATAGAAAGCTTTATTCAGCCAGTGAATGGTTGGTTTGCTCTTTCTCGCTAATCTAAGTGAGGGTATGTTGTTAGGGGTTCATTTCAAAGAAAGGAAAAAGCAAACTTGGGGCTGTCTTAAATTTGTTTTTCCTTTTAGCTGATGAAAGTTTGGGGAGCCTATTCTATTTTAATTCATACAGTCTTACACATTTTAAGGATCTCCTACTTAATAGCCAAAAGTTTAGAAATGAATATTGTCAAAGAATTATTGAGTGGTTGTTATTCTATTTTAATTCATACAGTCTTACACATTTTAAGTATCTCCTACTTAATAGCCAAAAGTTTAGAAATGAATATTGTCAAAGAATTATTGAGTGGTTGAACAGGGGTTCAAACTAATTTTAATTGAAAGATTATTTTTGCCACCTATGTAATCATAGGAAATCAGTCCCAGATATAAGTATACAACTATCTTTAATACTTTATTCAATGTATTTTTTTATGAAAAGTTGCCTACTTTGAATTTTTATAAATGAAGTTGAATTTGTATGTTAAGTGCACCAAAGGAGATGAGCTTTTTAAAAGAACTTTACATGCATTGTTTTGCTGAAATGAAAAATCTTTTTAAGTCTGTGAATTATTGACCCTAATTTTAGATTTTTGCGTATCAGATCAGTGCTCTTGATTTTTAATGGAAGACAAAACTACAGTAGTAGCTCTACACATCTTCCTTGATAATTTCTTTTCTTGTAATATCATGGCTAAAAAGGGCATTTCCAATAGAACCCTGTTACTTGCTTTACCCTTTAGCCCCCAAGTCTTTAGGGCTCTCCTGTTGCTGGAGTCAATCACTGTCATCTGTAAGCCAGTCATCTGGGGATTTCACTGCCCCATATACCTCACTTGAGTGCCCTCAGGTACTGGAAACTCAGTGTTCCCACACTGAACTCAACCTGGATGGGTCCAGACACCAAACTTACTTCTCTCCATTCTTTATTCATTGTTTTGGCAAGACATCCATCAATGTAGCATCTTTAACTTTTCTAATTTCACCTAATGGATAATAAATACATAATCCCTAATGTGTAGAAAATATGTTTTACTAAGGTTCAACAATAATGACTTCAGTTATTTGAGATGGCTGCTTCTACTTAAGGCAACTAGGCACCTCCCCTCTGTATAAATTATGCATTTGGAAAATAGGGCTAGCAAGTCCTATATATAAATAATTGATAATTAAGCTTTCCTAAATGATGAATTGAACTATTGTACTACTGCAAATGGCTGCTGTTTGTGTTTTGAAGTTCTGATGGGTAACTTTCAAGAATTCTTCAGTGGTTGCCCTGATTTTGGATGCTGTTACTCTCAAATAATGTTTTCCTGCTTGTTGTTTAATTCAAGAATTGCCTCACTTTGTGGTGAGTGATTTTATCCACATTGAGTTGTTTAATAGCTGTTTCTAGACTAAAGCTCCATGTGTAGAAAATTTAAAAATGAATGTTTGGTGCAATTTTTCTGTTAGAATTTTCTTCTCTGTCTTCCTTCCTGTGGCTGGCTTCTCCACTGGCTGAAAGGGATAAAGCTCTTTTTTTTTTTTTTAGTTTGCTGTAAATCTTCAACAAAAATTGCAACTTAAGTCAGTTTATATATATATCCTAGCTGTATAGCACATAAACAGATCTTTTGCCATTTTGTAAATTCTTTGTATTAATTTGAGGATTGGGGTATATGAGAGCATTGATAAAGGTGTATTATGGTATAAGTCCTTCACTTTGGACAGCTTACTTTCATGGGAGAAATAGATGATAGAAATCTGAGGTAAGAGGCATTCGTTTAAACATCAAAGCTAAAATGTATTCC